CCCCCGGCGTGCAGACAGCGGGCTCGCGAGGAGTCAGGTTCCCGCGGGAGACCGAGGCGGAGGCGGGGCTCTACGTAGGGGCGGGGCTCTACGTAGGGGCGGGGCCAGAGCCCCGGGGCTGTGACTTTTGACCCGGGAGGGTGGAGTGGGTGGTTGGGTGCACAGAGGGGAGTTCGGTGAGCGCAGGGGCTCTAGCTGAGGGCTCTAGCTGAGGGTTCCAAGAACGCTGAGGAGGCGGGAAGGGAGAAAGAGCGAGGGGGGTTGATGACAGGTCCTGAGAGAGGGGACCGGCCCTGAGGGCTGGTGGGTCCTGGAGCGCTGGTGGGGTACCGTCCCGAGGAGGAGGACGGGCCCGAAGGGGCACAGGTCCCGAGGGGGACAGGGCCTGGGAGGATAGGTCTAGGATGCTGAGCGTCAGCTCCTGGGGTGGGTTTGCATCCTGGGGACCCTGGACCTGAGGGGGAAAGGGGTGTGAGCAGAGTTTTGGGGGGCAGCTGGGGTTCTTATGGAGGAGAGATGGGTCCTGGGGCGAGGGCTGGGGACGTCGGAGAAGGCCCTGAGAGGATGGACAGATTTTGAGACAGGAAAGAAGCCCCTGGTTTGGGGGAAGCGCAGGGGCAGGGAGGTGGGGAGCAGGGGTGGTAAGAGGCCCTTCTGGAAAAAGGAAGTAGGCTGCCCCCATCTCAGGAAGCTTCCGGCAGCCTGCAGCCCCCAAGAGAGGACAGAGAGGGCAGCAGGCAGTGGGGGCTGGGGAACAGAATGGCCTTGGGTGAAGGAGGAGTGGGGGAAGGTACCAGGTAGAAAGAGCAACAGAGCTCCCACCCCCGGGAGCACGAGGCCTGGAAGTCCCAATCCCATCCTGGCTCTTCGTCCCACCTGCCATGTTCATGGGGCCAGGCCTGAACCTCTTGGCACCTGTTTTTTCCCTGTGAGGTTCATGCGGCCACAGCCACGATGTCATCGCCTGCTGTTCCAATGACCCTCAGCCAGCGAGCAAGTGTCCCTGCCGCCCCTCCCCCCAGCCCCAGCCAGGGCTGCTGGGGCAGGCTGGTGGCCGCTGCCTTTAGGGTCCACAGACGCTAGCCGCAGCATCGAGCTCCCTACACAGCCCCACAGAGGTACCGGGGTCCCCCCTCAGTTCCTTCCGCCGTGCTCACTGTTTCAGACCATCCTCCTCTTCAGCTCTCAGAGAACGTCATTTTTACCAGGAAGATCGAAGCCTTGGTTCTGGAGCTTCCTCAGCCTCCTGCCCTCCTCCCCTCTGGGAAGTGCCCCTGTTCTATTCTGCACCTTCCAGCGTCTTTCCGGGCTTCTTCCCCCCTCAAGGTAACAAACTCCGGTCTCTGCTCGCTTGAGAAGCTTGACTGCAGGTCCTGGTCCAGCTAGTGCCCGCCCAAGGCCACGCTCAGGAAGCAGGCACCGAGCCCCTATCCGTTCCCTCTGGCACACGTCGCTCTTGCCCTCACGGCGCGGGCCTCTTGCGTCTGGTGCGGCTCAAGTCTAACCAGGCTCATTGCCACCAGGTCATCAGAGGCCCCCACGTCTTTAGCACTTCTCTTGCCTGCCCTCTCCGTAGCCTGTACTCTGGTGATGCTCTATCCCCTCGAAGCTGTGCCTCCGTGACCTTACACATTGAGGTTTTGTCTCTGTGCTTCTCTCCTGTGCTGGCTCTGCTGTCCCCTCCCGGCTGGCCTCACCCCTCCTGTGGCTTCAGCGATCAACTCTTTTGAACCTTCTCCCTCTGGCCCTGACCTCTCCCGGAGCGTCAGATTTGTGGTTGCTCCGCGCAGGTGTCATGTGGGTTCCCAGCCAGGGTGGTCCTGCGCCGCTCATGAGCATCCACAAGTCCAGGCTGTGTTTCCTCCTGCAGCCCTTCTGGGGGGGCGGGCGGCCAGAGCTGGGAACCACAGGGTTTACGACACAGAGCACAAGGGATCTCAGAAAGAGGAACTGGAGGTTGAGTTCACAAGAGCAAATCAAGAATGGAAGCCTGATTCTACGAGGAAGGCAAGTCACAAGGAGTGGGCAGGGGAGCAGGCAGCACAAGGAAGTAGCCAGAGAAAGTTCCTGTGAGGCCACTGCAGGGATCCTCCTTGGCTGGGTACGGGGACGGAGACTTCTGCGGTCTCAGGAGGTCACAGCACCCGTCACCCGGCCACCTCTGCCGGAACTCCCTCTTCCATCCCTCACATCCAGGCACTTCATTTTCTTAAATAACTCAAGTTGATTTCTCTGCACCCCGCGTTCCCACCATGGGCTCCCACCTGGATGACTGCGAGAGCCTCCGTGGGCTCCCTGCCTCACCCTGGTCTCCTTCGAATCCCATTCCCACTGCAGCAGGAGTGATGTTTCTGAAGCATAAAGCTGGTCACTCTGCCAGGAACCTCCCGGCACTGCTTGCTGCCTTTAAGAGCAGGTCCCCTGTTGTCCTTGCTGATCTGACCTCTGCTGACCTCGTTACCACGCTGTTCACCTCTCACCGGCCCTGACACCCCCACACTCACAGGTACAACCACATAGAGACTCACACACACAGATACAACCCCATGGACACTCACACTCACAGATACAACCACACGGACACTCACACTCACAGATACAACCACACGGACACTCACACTCACAGACACAACCACACAGAGA